CTATTCTCCTTGCCCTTTTTCGGCTTATCTGAAAACTGTTCTCGGCTTGTTGTTTTCGTTTGCTTACTTTCTTGGGTTTGTTTTTGATTTATTTATTTTTGGGATTCTGCATTGCGACTTTACTCTAAAATATTTCTATACCTTAGTTTGGTTTTAATATTAAAAGATTTCTGTATGCCACCTAAGCTTGGTTTCAAATCCTTATCAAGTAGCTTTATTACCAGCGAAGAAGATAATTATTTTTTGTGGTTTGACAATAAAATTACAATAAAAATAAAAAATTAATAAAGTTTCTTAAACAGGTAATATTATATTACCAAATTTTATTACAAAATGCATAAAAAGCCTCTTAATTGGTAAATCAATAACAAATAATATTCAAAAACCTACAAAATGATAATCTCAAATAATGATTACTTTTCGGCTTTTACACAATGAATAAAATTAATAAATTACAAATTTTACAAAGCTGAGCTTTTTTCCATAGTGCATATAGCAACAATGTCTCAAACTCTTGTTGCTTACAAAATAATGAAATCGAAAAATGCATTACAAAAATGGTATAAAAGCGGCTAACACATACTAACACACATCACCCAAAGACCTGCTTCTTCTTCTTCTTCTTCTTCGATTTATCAGCTGAGCGAACAACACCCGCATATTGCCATTGCAGTGCATCGAAAAGAGAGAAGGGGTGGCAAAGAGATAGAGAGAGTGGTTGAAAGAGAGGGGAGAGAGATCGACCGACTAACCCAAAGTTGTAGTTGCAATATGTATGTGTGTGCCCTTCTAAAAAGCCCCGTAAAAGCATGAAACTCACTCAAACGGCATTCCACTCAAGCGCCTTGTGACGTCAGCTGTGTGAGAGAGATAGCCCGAGAGAGAGAGAGAGAGCTTTTATTTGTTATATTGAGAGAGCACTCAACGTCGCAGTCGCCGTTCTCTATATAGTTTCTTGTTCGCAATTCAGATTGGAGTTATTTTTTTCAGAGCAGGCGGCAGACGGCGACGTCAATTCATTTGGTTTTCGAACGCGCAACTTAACGGTCGTCTTTCTCTCTGCGACGAATTGCAAGAAATTAAATAAATAAATAAAAGCCATTGAGAGTGTGAGAGCCGAAATTTAAATTAAAAATCATATGAAATAAAAAGTGTAGACGAGTGTTGAAGAAAACGAGAAATAACCCAGTGTACCTGTGTGAGTGCAATTTACAAACAGATATTTATTTCACATTCAAACACGCGAATTAAATCGAAATCGCGTCGAAAAAAATATAGTCGGAGTCGCTTAGTCGCGTTTACAAGGCGCCAATTGTGGGCACCACCCACCATCTCCTCCTCCTTCTGTTCGTCCTCTCGTTTTCCTTCTTTCTTCGTTGGTGATGCGGTGCTAAAACAAAATCCACACGGAATCCATATTTGTTTTAGCCTCACTTAAAACTCGGTACGTTGGAAAAATGTTAAAAAGACATTAAGATCGTGTTTGTGTGAAAATATTTAATGTAAATTATTAAATATTTAATTTAATTAGGTTTTATAAAAGTGACGAGTTGTTTTTTAAAGATCTTAATCTGATATAGCATTTTAAAATCCATTCTAGAAAATTCTAGAAAAATATTTGGGCAGTGAGGAGAACTTATACACTGTTTAAAGATGTGATTTTATCTCTTTTAAAAACTAAAATAAAAATCAGCCCAGTTTTTTCTCTGCGTGTGCTTAGGCTTTGATATTTTCGTGTTTTTCTTTTTTAGTTTTTATATTTTTTTCTTTAATAGACTTTCTGCCATTGTTGGGCTATTTGCTGCTTTCCTTAGCCGCGAAAGAGGCGAGAGATAGAGACAGAGAAAGAAGGCAAAAAACAACGATTTTCACTTTTATTTGAGACCAGTCTAGGCCAACACACACACGCGAACACACACGAACGAACGAACACTCGCGTAGAAACTATTGCACCTGTTTGCATGCCTGTGTAAAGTGACTGCATGGCCACTGGAAAACCGTTATGATAATGATAAAGCTTAAGATAAACTATTACGGCGTACTAATCGTAAACAAATCGGTGAAAACCTATGATTTATGCCTTATTGTGAAATAAAGTTCTGATTCATACGGAGGTGTAGTCTTTCAAAGAACTGAGTTTTATCATCTATAGTTTTATCTTCTTTTATGATTTAATTCAACTTAATTACTATTCATAGAAGGGCAATAAATTATTTATACCTTCATATATTTTTTAATGGTCATATTTATTGGCTAAATTCATCAAAACTTATCTAACAATCAGCGATATTTGTTTTCTGTGGTCAATCTAAAACTATAGAAAGTAATTAACATGGAAATTATCAAATTTGATTTGATTTCGCACCATTAACTAGCGCAAAAGTGTTAATTAAATTGAAGAGTGGAGAAACCAACCTTTGGCGTAGACTTTAAGTTCCTGGCTGCAATTCTTCAAGGGCGAATTCTTCGCAATTTCGATTGCCACCTCATGAAAATGCAGTTTAAACAATTACAATAAATACATGACAGCCGCAGCGGCAGAGGCAGTGGCAGTAGCAGCGGCAATTTGTGCTTGTGCGCGACGTCAATGGCAATTAATAAATAACTAATTGTCCGGCTGAGCAAAAACAAAAAGCAAGAAAAAGAAGGCAAACTTAACTGGAACTGAGTGAATAACAATGCCCGTGCATTTCCACTGCCCTCTAGCCGTCACAGCCTATCATCCAGCTTCCAACCATTTCCATCTCTGAAAAGTGTGAACTCAGCCACGCGGCAGTTCTCAAGATGCAAAGCGGCATCGCGCCGACCCCGGACCCAAAACAAAATTTAGTTATATTACCCAATTCACACGAAAACTGAGCACAAATTAATGCACTCGTATTCGCACTCTACCAAAGGCTTAATAGTGCTGATCAAATTAAAGCTTAAAAAAGGCTAAAAAGTGGTGTTGCACTTTTCAACTTTATTTCTTTTAAAAGATAGTATTAAATAGTTAAAAATTCATCAATAATATAAAAGTCTTCTTCTATATTCCAAATTTCTCAAATAAACAAATCCAAAGTATCGCAGAATTTCACCAATAGACCCAGCAAGCTAACATCAAAATCGTTATCTAACAGTTATAAAAGCGATAAGTACAAGTTATTGCATCAGCCGCAAGACAACAGATATTGCTAAACACCGAAATTAGATAATCGCAAGCTGAAAGTGATTATGGCTCCGAAAGTGATGTAGATCTGGGTAAAACCCAGCTAAACTGACATCACTGCTCTGCGTTCCTTCTCGTTTCGCCGTGTGAATGATATAATTTGGGTTTAGAGAGACAGAGGCCTTCGGAAAGATTTGCATTCGACGGGCTGACGGACTGATGGCTTGTGCAAATCGACAGGTCAGATCGGAATTAGAAATGGGAATCAGAGGGTTAACTAAGTTGTGAATCATTCGACCTAAGAATCCATTTGAATGGTGTTATGGCGATTCTCAACCCCATCTCTCTCTCTCACTCTCTAATTGCTGTTCGTCTCTTACAGTTTGGTATATATTATATACACATACATATTTATATATTTTATGTGCTCGCCGGCCAGTTATGCCAGAAAATTAAATTTGTTTTTTGTTGTTTTTGTGTTATTTGGTGAACGCACAAACAAAATGATAAAAGAGAACCCGAAACTCTCACACACTCGCGCAGATAAAACTTATACAAGAGATAGAGCTAAACGATATAATGGCCATGCCATGTACATACATACAACAGTGGCACAAAACAGAAGGCGAAAAGTCGAGGGAATATACTGTTATTGTTGTTGTGGGATAACAACGACTACGAATAGGGAATTTTCGGGAGGGAAGCGAACGAGCGATAGAACCACAAAACTCGCCTCTCGATAACAACGCGGAACTTTCGACTCGTCTAGATCCGATACGATCCAAATTCGAAGCGATGCCAAAAACCAAAAACCGAACACCGAAAAAAAACACAAGAAAAACTGTTGTTTGGGCGAGAATAATATTAAATAAGCAATAAATAGCTGAGCATTTAATGTTTTAGCGCGTAGGCTGCGCTGCTCTCGCCGCGCACACAGCAACAGCAACAGCCATCGCTCAGACAGTCGAATTTAGCAGCAAATTTAAAGCAAATTAATTAATTAAAAGAAGCCCCCGGGCGGCATTTGGCATTGGCTAGATAAAATGGCAAAAATAAATAAATAAATAACAGTGACAATATCATCGCGATGATGAAGCGACATGAAAACAATCGCAAAACGGCGAGTAGGGAGATAAGTTTGATGTAGAAAAGGAATACACATATAGTATATAGAAGTATGTACGTTTTGAAAAGCAAACTAATTAAAATCAAGGGAATTGGAAATGAAATTATAATGAGCAAATAGGCGTTCCCTTTCTATAAAATTATACAGCAAATAGAAGAAAATTGTTTTAAATTATAGACCTGCGATCCCATTAAAACCAAAAAAAAAAGGGAAATGAGAATAATTTATTAATATAATGATAATAAAAATAGCAGCTATGGTTAGTTTTTGTATATTATATAGAAATTATAGCAATTTATAATGTCCGAAATATACATTTTGATATAAAAACCAGGCCATTTCGAATAATGCTTATATTTACACTTAGTTTTCTGATTTTCAGTAATTTTGTACTCAGTTTACCCCTTGACTTCCAACAACGAGGCTCTCGAAATGTAATCAATTGATTTTAAAAAAGAATTCATTCGTTAGACCTCGACATTTCCACCTCCACACAAAATTCCTCTTACAAAATTCGGTTTTGTTAGGAACCCGAAAGCGAGCCAACCACATACTTAACAATAGCAATAACACCAACGATGGTAGTGTAGATCAGTGGACCAAACTAACCACCAATATCAGCAGATACTAACTCAAGCCATAGAATATTGTTAGTTCATAGTTAGTACAAGGTCTCTAAGATATCATAACTAACTTCGGTCTTCTATCCTTCTAATTCCATTGCAGTGCGGGACACTAGACGGAGCCGAACCGTTGTATCATCAACAGCGCAGCAACAGAATGGACGTCTACCAGATCGACGATGGATTCCACTCGGACGGTGGCACTGAGACACCGCCGCCGTCGCCCAGTTCCGGGTCATCGATCGCCTCGACATCGGACCATGGATCACTGGAGAGCGTCGACACTGGCGGGACACAGCGGCTGGCCGTGCTATCATTCGAGCAGGTGAGCAAGCTGCACGACGTCATGGACGAGAAGGTGGCCATCCATGGGCGTGGTAACTTTCCCACGCTGGAGGTGACGCTCAAGGATCTGGTCAATCTGGTGCGCCGCAAGCTGGAGGCGGAGGTGAACGCCGGCGGCGCCGGGGTGTTAGTTAAGGACATCCGTCTCAATGGCGGGGCAGCTAGTCATGTTTTAGCCAGCGAGGATCAGCCGTACAATGACCTGGACCTGATATTCGCCATCGAGTTGAGTTCGCCACGTGTCTTTGATCGTGTCAAGGTGGCGGTGCTCAATACCCTATTGGACCTGATGCCCGAGGGCGTGTGCAAGCGCCGGATCTACACGGGCTCCCTGAAGGAGGCCTATGTGGGCAAGATGGTGAAGGTGAACAATAACAATGACGGCGACCGCTGGTCGCTTATCTCGCTGGGCAACTCGCCGGGCCACAAGAACGTCGAGCTGAAGTTCGTGGACTCGATGAGGCGCCAGTTCGAGTTCTCGGTGGACTCGTTCCAGATTGTGCTGGACTCACTGCTGCTCTTCTACGACTGCGCCGCTCTGCCCATCTCGGAGAACTTCTATCCGACGGTGGTCGGCGAGTCGGTCTACGGGGACTTCCAGGAGGCACTCTACCACTTGCAAAAGAAACTGATCTCAACGCGTCAGCCGGAGGAGATACGAGGCGGCGGCCTGCTCAAGTACTGCAATCTATTGGTGCGCAACTACAAGGCCGTCGACTCGCAGCTCATCAAGACCCTGGAGCGCTACATGTGCTCGCGCTTCTTCATCGATTTCCCGGACATCAATACGCAAACCACCAAACTGGAGGCTTACTTGCGTAACCATTTCTGGGGCGTCGATGAGGAACCGCTGCAGTATCAGTACCTGATGCATTTACGCGAGGTGGTCGAGATGTCGACAGTCTGCCTAATGGGCCACGAGCGGCGCCAGACGCTCCACCTTATCCAGTCGCTGGCAGCCCAGGTGCTCTTCAACAAGCAGGAGAAGCAGCAGCAGCAGCATGCCCAGCAGCAGTACCAACAGCAACAGCAGCAACATCATCAGCAACACCAGCATCAGCAGCACCACCAACGTCAGCATCAGTTCCTGGATCCAGCGCAGCAGCAACAGCAGCAGCAGCAGCAGCAACAATCACAGACGCAACAGCCACAGCCGCAGCAGGCGGGCACCCTGACATTGGTCTCGCAGGCACCGCCAACGGGCCAGGCGCAGACCATCTATGTGCAACAGGCTGCCCCAGCCACCGTGTGCTGCACAAGCAGTGCGGATCAGTCGGCGACAGCAGCTCCACAGACCATACAGATACAGGCCGGTCCGCCGGGACTCATCTATGCCAATGGCGTCTACTATGCACCTGTGATCCCCAGCACCATCTGCACGTGCAACTCCACCTGGCTGAGCACGTGATTGGGGCAGCCGGAGCAGCAGGAGCAGCATCAGCAGCAGCAGCAACAACAGTGGTCAGAGAATGCATTGGGATTGACGCTCTTGGCTGAAACTGAAACTGAACCACCACTAGAAACAGCACCGATAGCACCCCCATCTCAACCACCATCACCATCATCACCGTCACCAACAGCACCCGGAACCCAAGTCCAAAATCAGACGAGACCCACGATTATCAGCAGCAGTAGCAGCGGCAGGAAAAAGAAAGAGAAAAACAAGGCCAAGACAGCAACAGCAGAAGCAGAAGCAGAAGCAGCAGCAACAGAGAGCAATTGCAACGAAAAAGCAACAACATCAACCATGACAAGGACAACAAAGAAGAGCAGCAGGACCAAGCAAAAGGCAGCAGCATCAGCAGGACAACGAGGAGGAGCCGGCGGGGTAACGGGCAGCTTGGTGCTGACACCTCAGCAGATCAACGGACTGCCCGTCTACAACCAACTGGAGGACGGCGGACGATCGGCGATGGGAACGTACAGCGGACAGTTTGCCTACTTCTATCCGCATGACGGCTCGGCGCCGAGTATGTTCCTGCTTGGTGAGGACTCCTACCTCAATGTAACCGAACAGCAGCAGGATGATCATCAGTTTGTCTAGGATGTGGAGAGAGAGAGACAGATAGAGAGAAGGACAAAGGGTCATGGGTCATATTTGCTTGCCTTGCCCTTGGGCACCTTACGATTACTGTTGATTCATGATTATTCATTCGGTTGGCTTGTTTCCTTGTTAACTGAATGATCAGAGGTCTATTTAACTGTTCCTTTTCTATATCTCTAATTCAATGTGTCCGGCGGCGACTATAAAGCCTTGCCACGACACTTGACCCACACTCACTCACACACCCCCACACGCTCCTACTTTAATAATGTAACTATCCCGAGAGTTTGAAACGCAGACTGAACTTCAGCCGCTGTTAGATGTTGAACGTAGAGACACCACCACCAAAATATCCAATATCCGATATCCAATATATCACTGACCCCCCGAAAAGGACGAAAACGATAGCGAATCACCATAATAATTTGGCTATATTAACCCTTTTTGCACACGATTTCCAACATAAACGTTTAATGTGTACTTTTCTTTTTGCCTACGATAGCTAAATTTTAATTTGTAAAACCCTAAAAAAACAAAAAAAACTTGAAAAATGTCAAAAAAAAAATGAATGTAATGTAAAGCCAAAATTGATTCTGTTTTCTCGGTCTCGAAAGTCGTTTTCATCTTTTCCAACTTTCTTCATTTTTTTTTTTGTAATAAACAACCCAAAAACCTGAAGCAGCCTAATGACTTAATTTTGGATTTGCCACCCACATACAAGTATAACACCTTCCATTGTATTTTTTAATAAACAAACAGACACACACAAAACCTACAAAAAAAAAAAACAAGAAAAACAAAAACAAAACCGTATGCATATGATATAGCCTGTTAATTACGGATTGACCTTTTTGTATGCCAAGTGCAGCAGACGAGGGCGGAGTGTTGGGTTCCAGTCTAGAAATTCCAAGCAACAATCTAATTGCAGGCTGAAAAGATAAATTAAAGCGATGATATGTAAATATTAGTCAAATTAGAGGAGGATATATATTTGTCTGATGTATCTATCAGGAGTTGCTCAATGAAATTCAATTCACAAAAAACAAACTAAAAATTTATTCAATTTAAAGTAGAAAAATTGAAAGGAAAATCGAATGAGAAATGTGAAATTTTGTAGAATACTTTCGGTGTGTCGTCAGGCAACAGCAACATATGTGAATGATTGATTGATTGAAGTGTTAAGTCCACTTGGGTGATAATTAATGAATGATTAACTGATATACATTTAAAACATAAATATGCTCTAAACAACAAATATTTATAGTTCGAGACAGAGGAAAACTTTGCTTTATGTGTAAGTCTCTTTTTGCAATTGCAACAAAATAACAAAATACAAAAATACAAAAATACAACAAGCGACTAAGGAATATATACTTATATATGCAACCATAAATATATATATTTATATCCACAACAAATGAAAGACAAATGGTCCATAAAACAAAATGAATCGAGAAGAGGATGTGTTGATGACGATAGATGATGATGATGAATGATTTAGGATGTATGATGTACGATCGATGTACGATGTATGATGATTAACTTTACGATGTTTCCTCTCCGTGTGCATTCTTTGATAACCTTTGAGAATTGTCTACCAATTACACACCTTTGTATAATGTTAACCTTGAACTTGTGTTTTGAATTTATGTATTAACTTTAGTTTAAACATTGTGACATAATGTACGATGTACGCTGTATGTATGTGTATATATCCAGATTATCTATATGCATATTCGACAAGGTCCAAAGCCAACGTATTCCAATTTGCGATCTGCAAAACATTTTACTTAGTGCAAACTTTAAAACAAGTTAACCTGATAACCTGATAACCTAATGAAACTGAACCGAAACTCTACTGAAAAACAAACTGAATCAAAATCTAAACCAAAAACAGAAACTGAAACAGAAAAACAATCAAGAAAGAAGTTTAAGATGATATGAACTATCAGAATTCTTTGGTTTTGCCAACTGCATGAAAAAAAGGTTTATTTTTTATTTGGGTCCCATAGCTAAAATGCCTGGGCTGGGCGGATTGTGTTTTTACATACAAATACAAATAAAATAAAATAAAATAAAATAAAATAAAATATAATATATAGATATATACACATATATATATTACTTAGATGTATGTTAGTTGGTTAAGCCTGTAGAGAAGTGGACATTTTTTGAAATATCTCTAGCGTGTAATCTTAAATTTATACAACTACATATACAGATAAAGATACAAGATACAAGATACAGATACAAGATACAAGATACAGATACCAGATATAATTGTAAATTCAAGCAAATCAATCAACAATCCATTGAGATTTGTATATAATATATATACTTAATTACGTATATCTAATTATTATACCAACACACCACACACACACACATACACCACAACCAGACACATACACCACACATACAACACACTCACACACACACACACAACAATATATAAATATTACTTACATATTACATTATATATATATATATAAATGATAATAATAATAATGTATCTATATCTATACCATATACAACAATTACCATACATATTACTTCTGTGCGCTTCTTGCGATCTAAGGAATTTCAATAAAAACAAACAAAAATACCTAAAAAGTATAAAACCAGCGAAAAATACAAAAAAATATACAAAAAACAAAAAATATAAATCCGTTCGAGCATTTATCACTTGCGGGACATGGGGCATGGGTTCGAGTTTGAGTTCGAGAAGTTCGCTTAGCAGATTCGCCATCCATATCCATAACCAGTTGGCCAATGGAATGGAATGGTCAACTGTTTCCTCCTTTCCAATTTTATGGCTAACATCTGCCGATTATGAGCCACCTAAGTTTGGGAGTTGGTGGTGCTGAGGGGGGAGGAAGCTGGGGACCCGCCGAAATGCATCTTGGGAGTGGGACTCCAACTTAAGCCACAGCCTCAACCTCGACTTCGACTACAACTTCATCTTCATCTTCATTTTCATTTTCATCTGCAGCCGGTTGGCTTTCGCTTCTTTTGCCTGGTTTCACTTTTTGTACAATTTAATTCGCATGTGTTTTCGGGTAATTGTATAATTTTTTTTGGTCTTTGCCAAATGCAGCCATCTAGCCTCTCTAGCGTCCATGTTATATGACCCGGAGCGGGTCCATGAAGTTGTTGATAAGTGGGAAATATGACAAATACACATTGGCCGGCCGCAGGTGAATGGCTAGACATGCGGCAGCGACTTTGTAGTTGGCATCTTGTATATTGGTGATTTATGCATTTTGATTAGCTTGTTAATGGCCCAAAGAGTTTTTCGCGTGCCTGAGAAGATACTAAGCTGGCCAAAAATAGATAGCACGTCTAAAGCGACACATGAACACCTGTTTGGGCCAAAACAAATGACTAGGAAATGGTTCTTTCCATTTCCTTGCTTGGTATGTCAGGCTTATATGGTTGTGATGTCACTATAAAAATTATCCGTAAGCAGCATCTACATTTATTTAGAAAGCCTAGAAATTTCCAAAGCTATTCTGTGCACTGTTCACAGAGCAGTCGTTTTAGTTTTAAAATATCAAGTATACGCGCCATATATATCAAGTAGCTTTCAGAAAGCTTGGTATTTTGTAGCAGTCAGCTTTTGCCAGGTAACGGTTAAGCCTCAGTATTTTTACATCTGTTTATTTTACAAATTTGGTATTTATCTTTCTATCTCTCTTTTTTTAATAAAATACATTTTATTGTCTAATATTTGTTATTTTGGAGAATAGAAATAAAATATCGAGGTATAATAGAGGCCATATCCCATATGTACCATATTCACCCCATCCTCTAAACGCCCGGTTATGTTCAAATGGTCCTGAACGATTCCGGCGATAATACAAAAATTTAATTTAAGTAAAAAAAGAAAAGGAAATAAAATTAACCGAAAATAGAAAAATATATTGCATACTATTAGGAACCCTTAGAAAAGTTTTTAATAAAACAGAAACAATACATACAAATAAATCAAACTAAATAAGTTGTTATGCCTTTTAGTTAAATATCCAAAATCAGAAAAGAAACAAAATAAGTTAAGTTTGAAATAAAAGTGATTTGAAAATTTGTGTTCTTGAGTTTGTGACAAGCACAGTAACTGCTTCTAAAGCTTTACCAATATATATTTTTATAAAAATAGTTAGGGATAAAGTAGTAACTTATGATTACAGAGATTTAGCCACACTACCAAGAAGTTGACAAAAGTTTAAAGCTGAAGCGAAAGCTTTTGGCTACTTCAGTGTCAAACGGTGGCTGTAAAGAAGAAGAAGTCGCGATTTGAGCCGAGAAATTGAAGCTTGCAACACACCAAAAACACACACACACGGACACGGCACACACACACGCGCACA